ACAACACAATCTCTGAATAAAAAATGATGGTGTTTGGTGGTGTTCTTTATTAAAGAATAAAGCAAAGTAACCTAGTTAAAATATTGTAGGGGGTTATTCAAATTGAGATTGTAAACTATTAAGAGTGATTCTTTTCTTTAGAGGGCACAAGTGAAACTTTGTTCTCCTTTGTACATAGTCTTAGATTTTCAACACATTAAGCTACAGTTGCTGTGGCTATTTCTAATTAAAAAGCCAATAACAAAAGTTATTCTAAGTTATTCTACATTCTAATAAGCTGCTTAGGTTAAAATTTAGATCTCCCCTTAAATGTTAGCTTAAGTACTGTGTGCTGTAAGACAAATATCTCGTTCTTCTTTGGACTCCTTCATCTAGATACCTGATGAAGTTAGATTGAGTTACTCTGGCTGAAGGCCACGAGCTGAGCTGGAGTATCTATGTGGTACTCTAAGCCAAGCTCAGCTGCAGGTTAAAGTGGGTGAGAGAAACTTAGTGGAGGTGGTTCAAGGTAGCACATTTTCTGTTCTAACTCCGATACCATAGAAGTGTGTAAGTGGTCACCTATCGCAGCTCAGCCACAAGATAACAGCCTAACAACATGCTGTAACTTAGTTGCATCCAAGCGTGTATTGGTGGGTTTCTTTTAAAATGCTGTGCTTTTAAAACCCAGTCAAAGATTATTCTATAAATGGTGACTCATTTTCATTTAATCCAGTTTGTCAGTGAGCTGAATGCAGTGAGAATTGTAAGAGAAAGACATTTTAATTATACTTTTAAAACATTTGGATTATTATTAAGGTACACAAAACCTTAATGTCCAACACTTTATAGAATGAAAATTTCAGGAAGGTCAACATCCAGCCTGCTGAAACCCAGTATTAAGATAGCAAATCTACTGAAGGCTCGAAAGCATATCTATAAACTCAAAAAAAGGTAGAAGTTTTCTGTGTCTAAGTGATGAAACTGCCTATTTGTAATTCATTGCAATTATTTTTAAAAGCATACAAGTTGAGGTTTTATGATATATTTAAATATCTATTTGTGCCATTTGGCTCAAGTGTAACCCGTCGTTGTTGTGCTGTCTTGCAGATAACTTCCTTTTTAGTGATGAAATCATAGCCAATGGCTTTCACTCCTGTGATAGTGATGAAGATGACAGAGCCTCACATGCAAGTTCTAGTGATTGGACCCCAAGACCACGTATAGGTAGAAGCCTATATAATGTTCTTAGATGCTGTTTGCCTTTGAACAGTTACTTTATTCTTCCCAGTCTTCAAGTGATTTCTTCTGTTGCAAAAAAATTGGAAATCACTGCTTTTGAGCAGCTTAGAGTTGTTGGCTGTATTCTGTATGTTATTTAAGGAGTTTTAAAATGGACCTGTTTAAACTTGCTGTATTTTGATTAAAATTGTCGCCGTCTTTTTTGTGTAGATATCCTGCCATGATCCATATTAAAAGCATACACACAGACCCACGAAACTGAACAGATTTATGGCATGTTTCTAGCCTATTTACTTAGTTACATTAGTACTTTAAGGAACAAGAAGATGAATCTTGTATGATTTTAGCCAGTCCTTTGGGTTCACTGTCCCAGGTGTTAGATCAGTTTGGGAATTATTGGTCTGCGTATATATTGCATATTAGCAATAGAGAAGTTAAGCATGGCAGTTAGGAACTCAGTAGAAAGTTCTCGCCTCACACAGAGGCAAGATAACCAGTACAGTCACTGGTGACTTGTGTGGGACAGGGGCTTCCAAGGTGCAGTGGGGTTGGGATTTGAGGTCTTTTGTCTTACACAGGCATGATAATACCACAGTGTTCATTTTACTGGTATTGATAAGAGCCGCAGCAAGAAAAAAAAATTTATGACAACACAATAGTCCACTTAAAATCTGCCCAGACGTTGTCTTTGCTGATCCCTTGTTACAGAATCACTGTTGGTACCTTTTGGTTGAATATGTATGACAATTGTTTTCTTTATATGTATTGTAACTAGCCATAGTCATAGCTGTTCGGGTCATCTTAGTCAGTTTAGCTTCTTAAGATTTACCTGGGTTTTTTTTCTACCGCTCTAATCTCAAGTGTTTCTGGAAAGATTGATTTGATGGCTTTAGGAGGTCATGTCTGAAATCATCAGTGTTAGATGAGTAAAAGAACAACAAAAATGCATGCATTGGAGGGCCCTATTTGTCTCTTTAGAGTGGAGTTTTTTAATATGACTAGGAAGTATATGTGTGTTTGTTGTCTCTTTAGCTTATTGCTGGAAATACCTTACAAAATGTTGGAAAAATAGAAATGAAGCCATAAAATGGAGATACATTGCGAAAGTTTTGTTCACATCTAAGAGCCATCAAGCCTGCTATGAACTGGGATTTCTACCTCGACTAACCTTCTATGAAATGCTTCATGGGTTAACATAAAATAGTAATAAATAAGTAAAAACCCTATCTATACTATCACTTCAGAATTTAGACCAAAACATACAGTGGTTTTGATGAACCAAGCATTACATTCGATTAATAAAGTTGTAGTAGCAAGCATTAAGGACAAATGATCATAATCATCTGAAATACTCGACTCAATTTTAAATATTTGTGTTTCTGAATTTTCTCAGGTCCCTACACTTTTGTTCAGCAGCATCTCATGTTAGGTACAGACCCACGGACAATTCTGAAAGACCTGCTACCAGAAACAATCCCTCCACCTGAACTGGATGATATGACACTGTGGCAAATTGTTATAAACATTCTTTCAGAACCACCAAAAAGAAAAAAACGAAAAGATATCAATACTATTGATGATGCTGTGAGACTTTTACAAGAATGCAGAAAAATAATGGTCTTGACTGGAGCTGGGGTATGTATTGCTGCAATGACAGTACGAGAATATATAGACAGTGGGTTAAATACTTACCCAGTGCTTTACAGCACACAGATGGTGTGACCCTCGCAACATTCGTAATCAAATAATTGTGCTAGGTGGGAAGAGGAGGCACTAGAACCATGCACACTGCAAGACTGGAGCTTAAGCTGGAAATGACAAGATCTCTCTTCTTATAAGAAAGTATTTGTAAACATTTAAACTCTTAAACAGTTGCTTCCATGCAAAAGAGTTATGGAGTAAGATCTCATCTAGCTGTTCCAATACATTTTCTACCCTAGTCATTTTTTCACTTCAAGCAAAGGTAATGATTTTTTAAACAAAGTCTCAGTGGCTCTCTTAAATACCTGATGGAGCTAGAGGTACTAGAAGAATAGGACTCAAAAAAGAAAAAAAAAGGTTGGGAGGAGCATTATGAAGGAGAGTTTAATTACCTTTCAGTAGACTTGAGTTTTCCTTTTAACATGTGCCACTCTATGATGGTAATAAGATTAATTACTCACTGTTTTACTAAAGAATATGTTTTAACTGTTGCACACTTACAGCTTTATACTCGTGTACCAGATCACGATACTAAAGTCGATCATTTTTTGCTTCTGTTGTTCATACACAGAGGGTGTGGCACTATTCAGAAAAGATGAGTAATTCAAATCAGCTTGTCAGAAGAGCACTGCTACTTCTCTTGCCCAATCTTGCTCATTCTGTAATTGCTGTCATACACCGGTTTCTCCTCCTCTTCCCATACCGTTTTGGGGTAGCCTGAGACAATAAGTTTTAGTCTTTATTGACTACTACAATTCTTTGATAAATAATTTTTGTTTATCAAAAGGTATTTATTCATGAAAAGCAAGAATCTATTGTTACTGCATTAGAACATGTAAAAAAGAAATAAAAATCAACCACCTTGTCTAAGCCTAAGTTGGAAGATCAATGAACACCTACTAATCAAATTCAATGCCACACTATCTTAAATTTTTGTTCACTTCTGACAAAACTTGCAGTAGTAAAAGTGAGTTCTGGTGTTCTATAACTGCCTGTATGGATTGTACTAAAGGGTTTTTTTGCCTAGTTGTCAGACTTTGTTTCTGTGCTGTTTCTCCTGCTTGTGATTTGGGATTTGTCATATTGGTCCAAAAAAAAGGAAAAAAAAATAAATACAGAGAACCCAGACTGGTTTTGTTCTTAATATCTCTGAGTGTACAGAAATGTGGTTTTCCAAATAGTTTGTATCATAGCAAGTCTGTCATAGTTTTGCTTATTTCAGATTGCAAAAATATATTTCAGGTGTCTGTGTCTTGTGGAATACCTGACTTTAGATCAAGAGATGGCATCTATGCACGCCTTGCCGTAGACTTCCCAGACCTTCCAGATCCTCAAGCAATGTTTGATATAGAATACTTCAGAAAGGATCCCAGGCCATTTTTTAAGTTTGCAAAGGTATGCTTTTCCAACAGTTCTTATCTTGGTCAGTAAAAACAGGTAACAGTATTAAAATGCATAAATCAGATATAAAACTATTCTGTTAACAAAATAGTATCTTTTTCTTTTCTCATAAACAAGATAGAAAAATATGTTTATACACTGAATTTACTTGAATGAGAGCCCTCATTCAGTGGCATAATAACTCTCTCCTTGGGAAGGTCTTTGCAATGTATCAATTTTACACCCTCAGTGTTACTTCAGTCATTGTATGCAACCACATATTAGCCTTACTATAAATATTTAGCAATATTCTCTCTTTTTTAAAAGCTTATTTCTACTGTTCCTGTTATAAGTTCATTATATACACAACCATTCTAGATGCCGTCTCTAATTTCAGGGAGGATAAATAGAAGCTTGTTATTTGAGCAAACCTCAGCTGCTGTTACTTTCTCTGCAAAACGAAAGAATATGAGAAATTTTTGGCCAGCACATGAGTGATGTGGAATGCTCCATTTGAATTTGATAGGCTGTGGCATGCTGTTCAGTGTCATACAATACATTCACATTTTATCCCTGTATTTACAGTTAAGAGGAGTAAAGCAGTTTCATGCGCTAATAAGTTTGTTCTTGTTTCAGGTTTTGGTATAGCTGTGACAAGGATCTGTACATCTTAGAGAATTAAAGCCTTTTTCCAGGGACTGTGTTTGCTTAAACACGAGAATGCAGCAGTTTTTGGAAAGATGTTAGTGATATTAAACAGTTTAATTTAAAAAGCAGGGAGTACATCTCCAAGACGAGAAGGAACTGTAGAAGCTGTAGACGTATGTAGAAACAAAAAAAAATTGCATTTAGTCTGGAATTTCCTTGGGGGGGGGTGGGGGTGGGGGGGGGAAATCAACCCCAAAATATTATAAGAATTACCACAGGACGAGTAATGCCTTGTGAAAATCAATCACTACTAATTATGCTCGCTCTTTCTTCCCTTCACTCACAATTTACACTACTCCTCTGTTATGTTTTAAAGGTCGGCAAAGAAAAATCAATGCATTCTTCACCTGCGTAGCTTTCTCTGAAAGCCTCCTATCCAGATATTTTGATGCTCATTAGTATATGCACTTCCTTGGCTTTTTAATATTTAATTAAAAAAAACCCAAAACAAAACAAAATCAAAAACCCCACCAAAAAAAAAAAATCAAAAATACCAACCTACTTGAAGCCTGTCTATACTCAGGTTTTACCATAGACAAAATCCAATTTGGCTGATACTTTTGTACTAAGATAATTTCTCCTACTTCTCCCTTTCTGTCCATCAGTTTGGTTAGAATATTCATTTCTTATTCCGTAAAATCTTAAGTTCCTTTAATTCTAGGGGCAAGGAATGGCCAAATAAATTTGCAGAGCTCAGTGGTGGGACATGTCTTGCTTCTCCAGACTAAGACATAAAAGCTGTTAGAACCACATGAATATCTGATTATAGTCACGTAATAGGCTCTTCATAATGTAGGTAATAGCACTATGAGCAATCATTGATCATTGCTGCAGTTTAACTCCAAAGATCCATGTAGCTTCAGTATTATGAATAACGTGAAATATTTGGGGGAAAAAACAAATGCTTTCAAAAAGTCTTTTTTGTTCGTTAGTAGTTCGGCTATGTGCTAGATGAAGGCAGAGCTGTCACAAAGATTAATTTAACAGTTCACTCTTGAGCTAGAACTTCTGGTTCAGCTTTCAGTATCTACTGGTAAAGGCAGGCAGCAGCCTTCTTGCCGACTTTCTTTTGGCCAGTGACCCTTGTGCTTTTTCTGTAAAAAGGCCTCACTTTCCCAGGTGAGACCCCAGCCCAGTTGCTCCTCAGTAGTGAGAGAGTGACCAGAGAGCAGAGGGTCTGGAATTCAAGTTCATCCCCTAAATAAGCGCTCCTGAGAAACAGAGTGGTGGTGATGCTGGTGCTGTCCTCCTTGTTGCACAGCAACCAGAGGTACCACCCGGGCTAATAAGCTCTGGACGGAGGTACCTAATCTGAAGCTTTCAGCTGGGGCCTACATTTAATTTTGCCTTTTGGCAGGCTCCTTGTTCGGTCTGAGCGAACAGCAAACCATTCTACAGAAGTGCCTACATTTTTTACCGTATGCTCTTTAGATATCCCTGCCTCCTCTCCCTTGCTCTAATGGAAAGGCGAAGCATCTATCGGACACAGTGGAATTGCTCTACTAAGCCATTTGGTTTTCATTTGATGACTGTTGTAACTGGCTAAATTGGCGAAGCTGGTCTGAGCACCACCTGTCTTCCCCCTAGATTCAATGTTGGTCTGCTTTCTGGTCTCCCGTCTTCTAGGAATGGCTGCTGATAATGCTGACGAATAAAAAATGCTCATCCCAAACCAAAATACCAGAATCCAAATGCCTCATGAAATTTTGTCTGACTGCAGTGAAACCATCTATGTTTCTAATAAAAAAAATATTGCGGTTACTTGACACTCACAAAGGAAAAAAAGCTTTCCTATTTCATAATTCTCAAAACCAAAAGAAACCTAAACCTTGCTGTTATGCTCTGTGAAGAACAAAATACCACATTCTGCATGGGGTAAGTCATGCTGACACGATCAGAAGCTCAGCTGTCAAAAGAAGAGTTGGATCCGAGGGAAGTGGCAAACTGCAAAGGGAGTGACAACATTAACTGCTGACGTAATCATTATTGACAATATTTAGCCCTGTGTGAATTGCTGCAGTTGGAACAAAGACGTTGTGTATTCATTTACACTTTCTAACGTACTTCTGGATTCTCCAGGAAATCTACCCAGGACAGTTCCAGCCATCGCTCTGTCACAAGTTCATAGCTTTGATGGATAAAGAAGGAAAACTACTTCGCAACTATACTCAGAACATAGACACGTTGGAACAGGTTGCAGGAATCCAAAGGATAATACAGTGTCATGGTGAGTGCTTTCAGTTTCACTTTTCTTAGTTTATGCGTAGGAATAATTTTCACTGGTGCATGTGACAAGGCAATTGCTTTTGGAATTATTTTTTTTTTTCCTTGAATCGGTATCTCTTGGCAACAAATATTCTGCTTTTAAAATATTAATTTTTTTTTAGGTAGCTTAAGTATTTAAATCAGAAGCGTTTCAAGTGGAAATTTCTTTCAGAAACGACGCTTGATAAATGGTGGTCTCTGTCTGTCAGTGAAGATCCACACCCTGTTTGCACAAGCTTAAACCTTCACTTTTAAAATGTATTTGTTGCTTTTTTATATTCACGTATGAGAACGTAGTATGGAAATCAGTCTTTTCCTGTGTCCCTCTCACTATCAATGAAATGGAGTTTAGCTGTTAGCCGATTCTTTATTTAGAATATATTCCATTGAAATCTTAAAATACCCTGACACTTCAATGACTTTACCTCACGTATAAAATATTGTGGATTAATCAGCTGTTCAGTTGAACTGAACATCATCTTGTTACAGCTTCAGCGTCGTACACATTCTGTAATTATGATACCAAATTAAGTGGAATCTCTTAATTAGTTGCTTGATATGCTTTCCATTACCAAGGAGTTGCAAATGTCAAGCTAAAAGGCCAAGGATCCATTTTTAAAGAAAGGATGCAGAAAATGAGTTCTTAAAGTGCACATTTAAATCATTTAGTAGACTTCTGGCAAATAAATTGTTTAAAAGCAGTGTTGGCATCTTTGTAAGACCTGTCTGTCTAATTCCACCTTTTCCAGTGACCAAATTCACTTGGTTTCCTTATCTGCAAAGCTTAGCTCGGTGCCAGATTTGTCCATTTTCTTTATTCCAACAGAGCGATATGGTGTTCTGTTGTGGTGCCCAGACAGCCCACAATAGAATCCTACCTGTCGAATAACCCCAGTCTGGTGCTAGTTTCCATTTTGTCCTCATTTGAGGTAAACCAGAAACAATTTTCTGATCAGTAATCTTACTTTGCAGCTAAGACTCTTCTAACTTTTGCACTCGATGCGTCACGCATTTTGTTTTGGTTGTCATTCTGTATGAGGTATTTATCATGAACTCCTTACATAGTTATGTTTTTGCACATCACTGCCACATTGAAGCTTCCCATTTTTTCAGTTGCACACTACAGTAATTAGATTCAGACCATCTTTAGTGTATGTCCTGTATAAGTTGATTGTAAATTTAAAACATTCTTTAAACACATGCTATGGACTTTGAGATTTTGAGGCCTTTGGAAATTAGCAAAGGTTGTTGAGCACATCAAGCTTTATCTGATGGACAGTTCTGCTGCTCTTTAACAAATGCTAGCTGACTAATGGTAGTGGCTAAAAAGAAACTGAAATTCTGCTATCTAAGGGTTCACAAGGCTATATTTATTCTATTTTTATTGTCTAGCTGTGGCAACAGCAAGTTAATCATGAGTATGCCAAATGACAAGGAGCCTTGTAATGATTTGGGGAGTTGATACATGAACCTTTGAACCCAGTATACGCTGCAGACCTACAGTGAAGTTGCTACTGCAAAAACTACTGTGCCTCGGATGCATTTTCTGAATTTAAAATGGCTTTTGCAGTCAACCAGCGGGTCTGGAATTAGATCCTATTCCTTGCCATTGCTGTAGCTGAATGATCAGAGGCAGTGGCCTGCTGGCTCTGGCACACGACTCAGGCATGGGGCAGCATAACTTCTTGATCAAGTCCTCTCGATGGTGAAAAATAACTCATATAATAGAGTTGCAAGTAGGTAGCAACAGATGCTTCAGACAGGGTTAGGTCTGCTGGCCTGACAGACATGTCCCTAACGCACCATATAAACACCTAAATTATTACTATAAACAAATTATAATGAGCAAATAATAACTGTCATACTTCCGGTAGTCTTTGGAACTCCTCAAGTTCTGGGAGTTGCAATGCTGAGCATTCAGAAGCTGTGCACTTTCCACGCCAGCAGTGATGAGCAGACCTGAACTGCCAGTTACTCATCTGCTGTCTGCTCTGAGTTTTTCTGTGCTTCCACTCTTTGTCTTACCCAGACAGAATATCCCCAAAGCATACTTGATTTTTAGCACCAGAATCCCTTCACATAGCCGTGTAAGTGTTGGTTGGCTGCTGTGCATAGGTTATGAGCAGAGAATATCTTCGGTTTGGGTGGCTTAAAACAATACTCCAGATAAAGTTTTGGTACCAGAGGATTTTAGCTGTTCCTAGCTTCTGCAAAGCTTTCAACATCTTAACAGTTACCTTTCTACAAGTTTCCTTTTGAAGAGAGAGTTTTGTACCCCTCTGTACATCACTGAGTCACAGAGCTTTCCTACTGCCCTCATATCACCATTAGAAATTAAAGAACTCCAGACTTTTGCTGTATGAGTGGCACATTTCAGTGCAGGGTCAAAAAGATCCCCAAATTATTATTTTTTTTAAGCCTTGTTTCATGGTCAGGAGAAAACCTGCGATTTTTTTCACTTTATTTTTCAGCATTCTGTCAACTTCTAGCATTATTCCTTCCACAGATAAAAGGCCTCAAAGGCCTCTCTCTCTCCTGGACGTGGGTGCACCAAAGGCCACTCTAGTTTGCCACAGTGACGTCACACTGTATTTTCACGTGTGTGTTAGCCACCTGATAAGCTTTCCATTTAGACCAATAGAGACACCAGATACTTGGGCATCACCTTCAGCTGCTTCGGAAACAGGCCAGTTAGAGCTACCAGGTGGCTGGATGGAGCAACCGACTTAACACAGTCTTGCCAAATAATAAACACTGGCTAAGCTGGGTACCAAGTTCAGAGCAGTATTTCAATTTAAACAATACAGCTGTAACTTCTCACTTCTGCTGAAAGGGGCAGTACTGCTATTTAGTTGCCTATAGCAAAGTTTTTACTAATGCATTTTCTTAGTTATTTTGCCCTACTGTTTCTTGAGTTCGCATGGCTTCATGTCATGCTGCTGCTGTTTGCAGAGCTGCTGGTACTACTGTTAGTTGTGTGAAGAGGAAGAAGGAAGGTTCTATTCTCTTCTCCTGGTACACGCTTGCACAGGTTGGGGGAATGAGAGGACACAATACAATTTTTGTTGACGTGCATGTGGTATATCCTACTCCTAAAACAAGATTTCTCCCGACTAACATCTAGAAGAACTACTTTTAGTGCTACAAGTATCTTCTCTTAATTTTAAATTACTTCTTAACAACTAATTTTGGTAGCAATGCAACATAACAGCCTTTGTGTCAAAACAGCTTGGGCAAAAAGACCAAATCCGAGTGACTGAAAATCCTTATTTCTACCATATGGGTTTTTCTCCTTAGGTTCCTTTGCAACAGCTTCCTGCCTGATCTGTAAATACAAAGTTGATTGTGAAGTTGTTCGAGGAGATATTTTCAATCAGGTAAAAATTTACTTTAACTCACTGCAGCTTTCTAATAAGTAACTCTCCAAAAAATCCCAAACCACCACCCTTGGATTGCTTAAAAGATCTGCTTTTAAAAGGCTACGTACCTTTGCTTGTATTTCATAAAAGTGCCTATCTGTACTTAGCATTTCCCCATGTATTTAAAAGTATACTCAAATACTATACTGCAAAAATTAGGTAATGGGAAAAAGCAGAAGCAAAGCGTTAAGAGTCCGTTTTTAATGGCACCTCTGAGAAAAGTAGAGGTTAAAATGGTAAGTAGAAAGTTGGATTTAGACCTGGTCTATGTTAATTTGAACTCGCAGTCACACTGAGAAAGCATTCTTAGCTATTTACAACATTGGTTGCTCTTTGAGCATTTACCTGCATTACAGATACGTTTAAACAGTAGATGATGCACGGAGACCTTGCTAACTACAGAGCAGCCTCTGAACAAGCAAGAGCATCAGACGAGATGTCAGATGTGTGCTTTCTAGGACTTCTGAACTGCTCTGTACTCTGAACTCCCCACATCTGGGCGTGAAGTACCCCAGGGCCAAGGCAGGAGTGGGTTCTGCTCTGTCAGAGCAGATGAGCCTCCGGCTTGGCAAGAACCTCTTTGCTCTTCTTCCCCTTCTTTTGAAGGAACAGAGACGATGATTCTCGGATCAAAAAGATCTTGTTTATACAAATGGAAGGGGGACTCTCTTTCTGGAGATTCACGTTTTTTGATAAATGCTTAGAGTCCACCGTTGCAACTTTAGATGAGAAACATGGAAGGGATGTAAATCGTTCGTGTCTTACATTTTAAATGGAACTCAATGAAAGCCTTTCAGAAGAGATGTTAAAGCTTTAAGAAATGTCAATCTCATAAGCCTGAAACTTTGTAAGACTGAAATATCGAATTTGAAATCTGGTTTACCTTCATATTAAGAGTATTATTTTTGAGAACTTTTTATCTTACAGATGTTTGCTGCTCCTTTACCTTCAAAGCCAGCTGGTTGGAGTTTAGGTTTTCTTCGTTCTAAACAACCACTCCTAAGCATTCTGTAATTTTCTGGTTTGATTGTTAGTGGTCATGACTCCTTCTCCTAACACTTTGTAATCATTGTATGTTTATAAGCCGAACCAAACTTCTGCCCCGTTGGCCTGTCCCTGCTGGTGGTCACTAATGGAAGCATGGGGAAGTGGAGAGAAGACGACTAGCAATACTTCTGAATAATGAGAACAAAGAGGGTTTTTACTCCCAACATGAGACTGAAGGAGCTTTTTACACTCATTCTGATTCTCAGCCCTAATCTTACAGTACTGTTGTCAGGTATATCTTTCCAGGGCAGGCCCTAGCTGTAAAACTGAATTATTTTCATAACGCAAAATATATCTGGTTATTGCCAAATACCATTTCACACAAGAAATAGCACTATTGAAAGAAAACATATCCGTCCTCATTTATGCCTGAAAAAAAAAAAAAAAAGTTCTATTTGTCATCATTATCTTTATTCTGTAGCCTGCATTTCCCAAACCAGCGCTATGCAGTTTCGTCTACTGCCTCTCTAGAATATAGAATTTGGTTCCTTAGATATCAAAAGAAACCTTTTCTGTACTTACGAAACAAAACACTGTCCTTCTCAACAGCTTTGCTTTCTAACAAGTTCCCCTTAACAAAAATGGTTTTGGCATCTGGGTCCCAATAGATAGTCCAGTTTCTAGCTTCTGCTGTCCTCCACTATTTGAAAGTTAAGTTATACATGGCCCCAGGTCCTTAGTTTTCCCTAAAAATACTACCTTTCCTTTGTCTGGTCCATCCCCTGATGGTCGTTAGGGCTTCACAAGGAAGTAAGTCCTTCTAGCATCTTTCTGCCACCATTTCCCTTCAACGTATTATAAACTGAGAATTGTTTGAGATTATCTGTTTAGAAAATTACCAATTTCTTGTTGCTGCGCTTCATTCTTTGGCATTTCCAAGATAATGTGCTAGTTCCCTGTAGCATGATTCTTTCTCTTGGTTGCTGTGCATAACCATCCTTCTGGATGAGAAGCAGCAGCAGTTATAAATCACACAGATGGAACTTCTGAGTGAAACAATTGATAGTCTTAAACCAACGTAATCTCTACTAATCTTGTTTTTGATATACAAATAACATCAATAGTCAATGATAAATTCTATTTCTCTGTCATTGGACAAATACATCAGCAGAGGTGGTGGGGCTTCAGGGGAGTGCTACCTCTGGGGGGAAAGAGGACCCTAGGCAACTGAGTGGCCAATTATCTAGCTTTAACTTCTTGGTATCAATTTCAGCTCTTGGAATAAATCCTCCCTCTTACTGACGACCTTTCTGAGGATTAGCAGAGAAGCTGGTGAGTAGTGTAGTGTTGAAATGCATTTATGGGCCCATTACAGTGACTCAAATGATGTGGATAGGGACATCAGTTGCTCTGCAGAGATCCATTAAGTCACAAGTTGTTGGAAACAGAGTTAATATTACTTGGTCTCTTTAAATCAAAAGCTGGCGGTCTTCATTTCATCTTCCTCCTAATACAGAGCAAACCTCTCTCCCTCCTTTTAGCTTCCAACATTTTCCCTCCTTAAGCTTCCAACCAAAAGTGTTTGTGTGTTACGAGCTCTCTCTAAAGATCCGAGGAAAAAGTTCAAGATTCATTCTACCCATCTGCTCCTCTTTGGGGAGTTCTTAAGTTGATTTCCCTTTAGCATGGGGTTACTAGACACTCTTTAGCTTGGGTATGTGGTGAAGGTTTCCTCCCTACCAATTCCTGGTTCTTGTGCCATATTGTTTCTTATGCATCCCTCCCACAAGGTTTTCTTCAAAGAAGGATTGGATTCTATGTTCAAAGACTTTGGGGAATGGTCCTTTGACACTAGAGGAGGCCTTTTACTTGTGATGTTTTCTCATATGGAAAGCATTGTCTTTTGTCGGAGTGCAGGCATCCATAAACTAGTTCTTTGATTGAAACTTTCTAAGTTCTGTATTATTTTTTCTGCATGTACTCTGTGTACAAGAGGGAGTTGTTATGCATTTAAATGTCATTTTTCATATATTTTCCTATTGAAATAGGTAATATACATCTCTTTACGCAGCACTGATTCGCTTGTGATGACTGCTATAGGATTGCAGCTACATTTAGCTCCTTGGATTTATTCTAGGGTATCATATTTTAACACTGCAGCTGAGAAGAACTGAACTATTTGAAAGAGACATTGCTCAGTAGTAGCTGAAGTATTGTCTGTACATGCATCACTCACCTCCTTTCCTTCGCTCTGAAAAAAGTCTTAAGATAGGAAAGAGTTGAAAGAGGTCCCAAAGATCAGAAAATACTCTGGTTTCAGGAGGAAAGGGAGCCTACTTCTCCACACATGTAATTCTTGTCCACTTTTTTTAGCGAACAGGGATGCTGCTCTGTTTTTGGAGGAATTGGAAGAGTTTAAAATGGAGACCAAACAAAAGTTCTTTCTTCTGTTCTTGTCCTGTATGCTTTTTGCCAGCCACCTGCAACAGTGCCATGTGGCTTTATGTGTATAACACACATACCCTTTTGGAGAAGAGGAGAAAGTAGAGAGGTAAAGCTGTACAATATACTCTGGTTAGGAAGGGGTTTATATCAGATCACCGAAACTGACAGCGAAATCTTAAGTTTTTGCTCTGATTAGACCAAGAAAAATATATTCCCATCGAATAGGACGTAATTACCCATTGGTGCTGAGCATGACTTCTGGACTGGGGCCTAGTTGTCAGATAAGAACTGTGGTGTAGATCTGTGTGGCTTCTCCCTTTTGACTTAAGAGGACTTCCTCTTTATTCTTGCTGTAGTTTTATTTCTGTGTGCCGTTGCTGCAGGCTAGAGTGAAAAATGTACTTGTCTGCATATCTGCAGAAAAATGAAATGAGGAAATATCACTGAAACGTCCTTGTCTTTTGCCAAAATAAGTCACTTTGAATTGCTAAAATCTGAGGTTTTCAGGGGCACAGCCTTGAATTGTAGTAATAGAAGCTGTTCTAATGCAGGTTGTACCTAGATGTCCCAGATGTCCACCTGATGTTTCCGCTCGCTATCATGAAGCCAGACATAGTGTTCTTTGGAGAGAACTTACCTGAGCAGTTCCATCGTGCCATGAAGTATGACAAAAATGAAGTTGATCTCCTTATTGTCATTGGGTCTTCACTGAAAGTAAGACCAGTAGCATTGATTCCAAGTAAGTGACTATCTCTGGTAATATTTTCTTCCAAAAATCTGGATCAGAAGTGAAATTCCGTTAAGAGCTCCAAGAAATACTTTTGGTTTGATTCAGTGAAGAAACTAGATTAAGCATCCAGTTTTCTAAGATGAAAACTGATTGCCTATGTAAAGCTGAAATGCAAAATAAAGAAAGTAGCAAATTCTAAGTGCTTTTTCTACAGTCCAGACAGATCTCAAGGTAATGAAGTGATAATCTGAAAAACTCTCCTAAAACTTGAATGACTTTGTTCTGAGATTCACTTCATTTCTCTCCCTGCTTGCAATGTGCTCTCAGAGTTACTTGAAAGATCTAGAAAGGAATCATCTTTAAAAACATAAATGTAGGATCAAAAAAACAGATTAAGTACATCAGGTGCCAGAGTTGTAGCTCATTTTAAAGTCGGTACTTAACACTAAATGATACACAGTGCACATTATATAGTGTATCACCATCTGGACCCTTAGCTTTTAAAAGTGATATGGAAAAACATCTCTGCTAATATATGTGACAGAAAAATGCTCTCCAGGAAGGCTGAGAAAATACCATGACAGGTGATTTATTTGCCTACTGAGTGCAAGACTTACTGGTACTAAAGAAAATCTCTTCACCTGTAAGCGTGAGAAGGACTTATGTTTAGCATCTGCTGTTAATGGGGAACAGTACCGTGCCCATGGCCTTTGTAATAACATCCTCTTCCCCACAGAAGAGGCAGAGCCTCGTGTTTAGGTTGATGGGAAATGCAGGAGGACTGGAAAGTTAGGATCCACTACAGAAACCATTGCTCTTTCTAGGTCCTAGAACTGGATTTCAGGAGTTGGTTATCTGATGGCTCAATGCGAGGTTACCAAACTGGGGGGGTTTGGAAGCCTACATGTCAGAAATGGGTTGAGCGACCCTGTACAGTGTAGACTGTACCTAGAAATATTTTGACCAAATTAATGGGATATCATTTATCAGTGGTATATTCTTCATGTGCACGTAAATACCTAAAATGAATGTACAAAATCAACACAGTTCTTCCAAGAGATTATAGTACTTTTTAACACTTGACCAAACGTTGCTGTAGTCAGTATTTCTGTCCATCTGTTTCTCGGTGAGGGAGGAACACTTTTTACTGGAAAAAAGGGGGGGAAAAAGTCTAGATAGGCTACAGTAGGCTTAGCTCCTCAAACTGCTGTTGTTAAATTTGAGATTTGCTTATCTTCTTCCTGGTCTTGTTGCAAATGAATGTATGAAGAGAAGTCTGAGGAATCAAACTTTCTAAGTAGACCTCTGCTGAAAGTAAAACTAAAGTGACTACCTTTAAATTCTCTTTTCTGTCTATAGGTTCCATCCCCCATGAAGTGCCTCAGATCTTAATTAATAGGGAACCTTTGCCTCATCTACACTTTGACGTGGAGCTTCTTGGAGACTGTGACGTTATTATTAATGAATTATGTCAAAGGCTAGGTAGCGAATATACAAAACTTTGCTACAACTCAGTAAAACTTTCAGAAATAACAGAAAAGCCTCCACGAACGCACAAGGAGCTCGAAATGCACTCATCTGAGCTACCGCCTACCCCTTTAAACATTTCAGAAGGCTCTAGTTCACCAGAAAGAATGACTCCCCCAGATACTTTGGTGGTGTCCTCAGAACCGCCAGCTGAATGTAAGGTAGAAAACTGTAATCCTGCCTCAGAAACTAAAGGGAGCTGCACAGAAGAAAAGCTTCAGGACACACAAACATCATCAGAAAACCCTGAAAATCCTACTAGTGAACTAATGGACTCTGAAACAATGAAGGAAAATGGATCTAACAATGGAGACAATAAAGAAAAAACTGAAATAGTGAAGAAGTGCTGGGTAAACAGATCTGCAAAAGAACAGATTAGCAAAAGGCTGGATGGTAAGTGTTAAGTCATTTCAGTATTTTGCGCTTTTTGCCAGATGTTTATTCAAGACTTACTTTAAAGCAATACATAAGTTACCCTTGAGGGACTCAGTGGGTTTAGGTGGTTATTTTTGTTCAGACGAGCATCTACATAACTCATCATTGTATTGTTTATTTCTTTCGGAGAAGCCTATAAGAAAACTTTTCATAATTCATAATAGGTTTTATAATCAGTGATTACGTACTCACTAAAAAGACCAAAGTTTAGGAGGTTGAAGGGAAGTATCGAAAAATAAATCAGTTTCTAACATTTTCAAATGCATTTTCAGCAAAAAATCAGTTTGCTCCTCAGGTGTGAAGCAGCTGGTCACACTAGGTCCGAATTTGGTATGGCAGCCATCTTGTAGAACTGAAAGATGAAGCCATGATAGGAGTTGAAAAGCCAATCTCACAGCTGGGGCTAGGCACATTTTGAAGGAAACTTTAGCCGCTCCAAGGAAGCCTTCCAGTATGTAGTCTCTTAACTGATGTCATGAATTATCACACTAGAAAATCAGTATTGCATGAAGAAACAGGTATTAAATCATGACTTTCTAAAGCAAAGGCTGTTTTTAAACTTTGTCAACTACTCTGTGCAGTGGGTTCCGGTTCTGTTACAAGCAACGGAAATCTAGCTGTGGATTCATGTATCAATGAAAAAAGCTGCTACATGTTGAAGTTTAAATGTTCTTTTGTGTCAAAGGGAGGGGGGAAAAGGAACGTTGAGTTTCCCCGTGAAGCATTTGTTATGTGCTGTTCCTAATGATACATTGAAATAAATGTGTTTCTAATGTAATCTGATTTGTCAGTTAAGTTTCACTGTTGAAAATACATATATGCAGGTACCTTCTAACCAGAAGTCTGCAAGATCTTTTACGAATAATTTATTTTAGCCTTTTATTGACTTTTGAAATTCTGTTTCAGGTACTCAGTATCTATTTTTGCCACCGAATCGCTATATTTTCCATGGTGCTGAGGTATACTCAGATTCTGAAGACGATATCATATCTTCTAGCTCTTGCGGGAGCAGTAGCGAAAGTGGTTCATGTCGTAGTCAGAGCTTAGATGTGGAGGATGAGAGTGAGATCGAAGAGTTTTACAATGGCATAGAAGACGAGGATGCTCCAGAAAGGGAAGAGGAACCTGGATTTGCGGAAGATGGAGTTGAACAAGATGAATCGGCGGCTGATGAATCAGCGTATACAAATGAAGCTGCAGGGACTGATCATCCAAGCAACAAGTTGTAAAGTGATCACTGACTGGTTACAGGAACTTTCCACCAGCATTAGGAGCTTTGGCATGTCAGAATGAATGTTTACGTCTGAATTTAGAGCAACAAAACCATAAGGATGTAGTGTTTATAAACAACTAAAACAGATTTTCATGCTTAGTTTTTTACCTTTTTCAATAAAATTCTATTACTGCGCACTCAACACTAACTCATTTTTTTTTAAGGTACTAGGAATATCTAAACAAGTGTCACTATGTTCACTTTTAAGTTCATCTGTCTGATCAGGCATCCATGTATATAATACATATTTTTGCTTAATGAATTTCAGCTTATATTATTTTTAAACAGTTTTGAAAAAGCCATTGGAATGTTAAACTAATATAAAGGGAACAGCTAATTTAGACCAAAGAATGGTATTTTCACACCTCTTGCTTTGTAACAGTTTGGTTTATTTAAAACCTTCTTACGCTTCTGCTAAACCTTTCATTCTCGCCTAGTCTGTCATTAAACACTGGCATTTTCTAAGACCTACTGTGGCAGCTAATTTTTTGCTTTAACAGTTATTTAGTATGTTTGAGACATACTTAAATGTGAGTAGATAGTTAAATGGAAACAAGACAGCGAGCACTTGAGAAATCCTATGTTTTTTTAGACTGATCAAGAAGTGCTGTGAAAATGCTTAGGTTACTGAGTTTAATACTTCCTGTGGACACGAAGCGGCGTTGACATTGGCTCCTTAGCAATTATAGTACTGGCATTTTAAACAAAATGGATCCCCCCCGGTAGAAGTTTTTCACGTTGTATACAAAAGTCAACTATAGCGCAGCTTGCATTACAAATAGCATTTGATGAATTGCCAAAGCTCTAATGTGGAAGCTCGGCTGAGTTCAGAATAGTGTTTCTGCCAGCATGCGAGAAGGCGCAAAGAAAAATAAGCTCTTCCTTTATACTTACTGATGCAACAGAACCAGGAGAAACTAACTCGAATACCGAGAGCGCCTGCTTACACTGCTGAGCGGCTAAAACACAGATTAGGAACCTAACCTGGAAGCACACCGTTTTGAGGTCATGTCTGGGGTTGGGAAACTAGTCTTCCACCTGCCAGCTCCACCTTGCATATTAAAAGTAAAGCGGCTACTCAAATTATTACGATGTATAGTCAAGCGCTAGGCTGCCTTAAAACTGGATGTTGCGAATTTTCAAGTGCAGATTGTTTCCAAGGCTTTAGAACTATTTTGTAAAATTGCACAGTGCAGTAGTAAGTGAAACAGCATTTTTCTATAAACCACTTTTTCAACATTGGCCCAAATGAACTCTACGGTGTAGATTATTCATATACTTTGCTTTACTATTTATTACATTTTGAAAGATGTATAGTAGCTGTTCTTTGAACGTAAGATACATCAGTTAATAAATATTTAAGAACAGCCTCCTGCATTCATCAGAAAATGTTGGCATGTTGTCTCATTGTCCAAATTTAATACAGCTCTTATTTGGCTACACTAAAGAATGCAATATGTTTAGTTTTCACTTGCATGTCACAATGTATTAGTTTGTGCTATAGGAGATATTTTAAATTGAAATACTTTGTTTTAAATTATTTTTACAGTGAGGATTGTTTTCTGCTCTTTTATATTGTATATAGTGTCTTTTATGTAATCTACTGGCATATGTTTTGTAGAAGACTGTTTACTGACTGGCTATCTTCCTGCAACTTTTGAAATACAAAACCAGTGTTTTATACTTGTACACTCTGTTCTAAAGTCTATTAAAATTGTAATTTGATTTCTGGTTTCTCTTAATTTCTAGTTAGATCTTAAAAGCTTAACAAAAGATGCCCTATAAAGTCAAGGTATACCCTAGCTAATGTGGGGCGTTATGTAGTAAATTGCTTTTTTCCAATCTGCCCCCTTGAAAAAAAAAAAAAAGCCTGACTGAAACTAGTCTGCACTGTCTTTCGTAAATTGACTTCCTAAACCACACTGCAGCGGTGTCCCTCAGAAAACTACTTTCCTCCTTTCAAACCCTATGTTAACTTTAGATATATAGCTGCTAAACAAGAGTGTTTATTTCTGCTGGTGTGCCAGCACCTCACAGCCCTGCTGCCCTTCCTCTACCCAGCCCAAAGCTCCTTTGACATTTGGCACTTACTGCTTCCACGTCCAGAAGCAGCTGCCTGTAAGGAACCTGCAGCCCACAGGAGTTTGGGGCACATTTTGGCATCACATACACAAGTATTTCATCTGTGTGTTGTCTTCACGCAGGTAATGCCGGCAGGTAAAGCCTGTGTTTCCCCTGAGGGGCGTTCTCACCTGCCTGGCACAGCTGCAGATGAAGCCCAACTGCAGAGAGTCCTTGGTTTGCCCTGTGGCTTCCCAGGGCTGCAGCTGTGCTCACCCCCCCAATACTGCAGAGATCCGCTCCTGTGGGCCCTCGAGGGACAGGGCCCAGTTAACTGGTTTTCCACTAAGTAATACCTGACTGTTTTGACGGTTCCACTGTACTTCTGAACCACCATCCCTCAAATAAACGTCACATTTGTATTAGGCAAAAAAAGATTGTTTCCAAGAGTCACACACTTGAGACATGAAATAAAGTATTAGAAATACTAAGAATTTTTTACACAGTTTATGTTTCCCTATCAATTGCTTATTACTCTGGAAGGACTTGAAAGCATTTTTCCTCTGGAATAAAACAAAACAGCTGCACCTTTTTCTACACCTACATGAAGAAGTTCTGCTTTTTGTTCTCTCGTATGTTTGCCAATATTTTCTGAACAGAAGAGGAACCCCAAACTACAATGCGTCACCTTATTCGTCCATTTCACACACTACCCTTTCCCTGTAGCAAACAGGTCATCTTTAAGTATTTTGTGAAACAATCGTAAGGCAAACTATGAGGATGAGGAAACGTGCTATCACAGCTCTTTGCTATCCCTAAGTATTCAGCATCTTATATGAAATTTGTCTGGAAGCATGGAAGAG